GATCTACATGCATTGCCAGGAGGTGGAAACGCGCAGGAACACTCCGGTACCAACAGTGGGCGTGCTGAACTCTGGACCAGCCATACCAACCGCGCGCTGGGCGTTCACTGCTGCCAATTCATTGCTGAGGACACAAAAGCTGGAGCTGAAATTGCCGGTCTCCAGCTCGTCAATGAGGCTGAGTGGGAATCAGAACGCATGTATGAGTGGTACGATGAATGCATAGCTGCTGTCTCTGCTATCGATCCCGGCATTCCTATCATCATCTCCGACGGTTGGCACCTAGAGAAAGCAGTCGACTGGACTTTGCAGAAGAACTCCATCTACTCGCACCCGCAGTGCCCAGTAGTGATCGATACGCACTACTACTGGGCTTTCACAGACGAAGATAAAGCAAAGACACCACAGCAAATCACGGAAGAGGCCGGCACCAAGCTTGGACAGCTTGACGGTAAAGAAGGCTCCGTCCATGACCGTGGTGCAGTACAAGTCATTGTTGGCGAGTACTCCTGCGTCATGACCGAAGACTCTTGGGCCAAGGGCGGCGGAGTCCCCAAGGAAGAGCTCGTGCAGCAGTTTGGTCAAGCGCAGAGTAGGCGGTACCAGCAACGAGCTGGCGGCAGTTTCTTCTGGACCTGGAAAATGGATTGGATGCCTGGTGGTGAGTGGGGCTTCAAAGCTAAAACGGAAGACGGGAGCATTGTGCCACCTCAGTACACAACAATGTCCGCTGATGATAGGCGTGGGGTGGTCGAGAAAGCCAGACACGAAAAAGACGGGCGGATGCATGAGGCTGTCCAACAGCACGTGTCTTACTGGAGTGGAGTGGATCCCAACGGTCACTATGAGCACGAAAAGTACGAACATGGTTGGCAAGTCGGATATCAAGACGCTCTCGCCTTCTTTGGGTGCGGAGAAACAAAAGGCGACAAGATTGGCATGTTCGAATTGTGGGTCCTCAAGCGAATCAGAGAGAGTGGATACAGAGGTGGCTTCACTTGGCTTTTCGAGCAAGGCTTGAGGAAAGGTGCGCACGACTGTTACTCTGCGCTCGGCATTTAATGGTTTGTGCACGAACGATATGGCTCTCGGTCACGACCGTTTGCTGTTGCTGCCTCAGTCACAAGGTACGTGCTCGGAGTTATGACGTTACGGTCAATGGTCGGATTCGCGACCTTCGTCGGTGGAACGTCTATAAAATCGGCAGAGACAAACATTCAAGCAATGTATGTTGAGCGTACAGTATCACTTTCTCAATGAATTTACCACGTCCCCTCTTCCACCCCCCCCTAACTTGATCTCGCGCAATCCCTCAATTTCCAGAAAACGCCAAACCCATGGATCACACCCATTTTATACCCATTGGAACACCTGAAGAAGGGCCTGGCGAGGCGCTGCTTTTACTGCATGACACACTACCCAGGCGCCCATATCAAGCTTATTGCGTCACCGAAGCCTCTTCACGACCGTCGAGCCCGGACAACCTTATTCCACAACCTCTTCGAACATCAACGACACCTGTATTGCAGGTTTCCATCGACATAGAGCCTGTTGAGACTGAAGACTGCGATCAAAACAACAATGTCACCCAGACTGCGGCAGGCAGTCCTGCGCAGTATGTCGAATCAGCAACATTACGCAGAACGGGACAGTATAGCAAAAGACAAACATTCCTTCCCAATCGAAAGCCGTTGCCAGAGCGTACAAGATCGGGAAATACACCAAATCACATTACACGGGCTGTCACTCCACGCGGAAGCCACTCGTTAGCTCCATCTGAGGTGACGGTGTGCGACCTGCCATCATCACATCCACGGATGCAACAATCGACTCTTTCCAACAACGAATCTGGTCGGACCGGCTCACACAAGCCAATTGAGCAATGCGGTGACCTTTTGGGTACGTATCAGCGGCCGCTACCACCACTACCGCTCGGGACGGCTTCAGTGACAGGCGAACAACAAGAAATCGGCGCGCGGAGCGCAAACGTTTGCCGAAGTTCGGACGAGCCGGTTCATCCAGAATACTTTGAAGGAGCAAACGAGCTCAATACCCTCGATATTCAGGCGGGACCGCTGTCCAAGGGGGAGTGCTACCTCGTTCCACGTCGGCCGTTGCCAGATTTACCGATAGACATCAGCCCAGATCATTCGAGTCAAAGAACTGCAGCGCAGAGCGCGTCCTCATCACACGTGGCAGATGGAATCTCATATGATGCCCTCTTTGAGTCGAGCATTAGTGCGCGAGAGCATCGTGTCTCGGGCAGCAATACACAAGAGCCCACTGCTACTGACCCATACGAACCTCGCGGCCACTGGGATGACATTGACGATGACATGCGAGCACTGCGGCGAACTCAACCCAAAGATGCAAATCTAAAATACCAGTTTGGACAGCTACCATCTTTCGGTTCAGCTTCACCGCCATTGATCTCGCCACTCCGCGGCAATTACTCGCACTCAGTCGGCAACTTCACTAACGCCGCGCCTTCTTTCCATTCGTCGACCGACATCCAAAATGGTCCCAGACCCCCTCCCTGGGGTTCATATGAAGATCTCGAGATACAACGTCGACAGCGCGGTGACGCTAGAGAGCGCGCAAAAGTTAGAGGTAGCCGTTTGACGGCAGACAGCTCTTCAGTGTACCAGAAGTCAATGTCGACGGACAGCCTGGGTAAAGATCCTTCAAGGGAGGTAGAAGAGTACAGGGAGCAGATACTCGGTGTGTACCCGGATATGGAGTTCAATGGGGAAGCTGGGAGAGGTGATCGTGGATGGTGCTGCTGCGTTATGATGTGACCGGCTTGCGATTGATGCTCAGTCCAGTCACGATGGGCATATCGCACTCGTGTTCGCAAAGTCTCGATGGTTAGAGACGTGCACTTCACGCTTCAACGACATTTCTATCTCCTGACATTAAACACAGCGTACCAGGCCACTTTGTACTTGACAACAACAAAGCTCGAATTCCGCACCCATCCCTCCGCAAATCTCCACCGCCAACTGAGTACACTACATCTTACATTTAGACTATCCAACTCTCATTGACAGCCTCCATCATGTCCAACGTAAAGGTCGGCGAGAAAGCAAAGCCAGGACGCTCGAACACCGGCAGCAAAGCGCAACAGACTGCATCAGGATCAGCCGTCAAACCAGCACCCAATAGCAACAACAGGTCACAAGTCACCGTGACAGTCAGAGAGCTACCGAGCACCTCCACAAAGACTCCAACAAAGCCGCACAACACGTCCAACAGCGTAGCATATGGATTTAAGAAGACCCCGGTAAAACCTCACATTGTTCGAGCTTTAGCAGAAGCAGAAGAGAGACGACAGCGGGAAAGGGAAATCGAGGAACACAACCGTAGGAAGAGGTTGGGACTCGCGCCATGGCAGAAATAGAAGGTACTCTGGTACTGTCAGGGTTTTGGGTTTTGACATGTTTTTTCAGCAGCTTCGTGAGTTGTTGCTATTTTGTTTGTTCAGATAGCGAAGGGGTGCTTTTTCTACTTTTCTTTTTTTCTGAGAGACCGTAGACTATACCTTGGATATTCTTGCGCAGGCTTGCGTATGATCAGCTTTATATATCATTCTATTCGAAACAATGACGCGTATGCTCATGGTTATTGAATGTGTCACGCAAACCTACCAGTATACATTAGATTGGCTACAGATGCTGCTTACTGCTCCTGATTGAGCTGAGGAGAGGTATGTGATGTTCGGAGTTCGATGGGACGGGACTCTAGACGTAAGGCCACTACTCCTCACCTTCCACATGCTTCTTCCACATGTGATTCACCATGTCTGATCAAATCGCAGTCATTGTTGACGCCTTTTGCTATATCTGTGGGAATATTACGCAAACAGCCCATGAGTCCTAATGAGTCAACGCTTTCGTAGTCACAAGCTTGGAGTCACTCAGGTCAATGCACCCACGGTAGCTTTTGAACTGTGACTGATGCTCGGACTCTACAGCATCAATGACAGGAATCATGAATAATACTGTCATCGAAGATGTGACTCTTCGCAGATATAAAAACCCCGCAGTGCCTACCTGGCTTTCCTTCACATACAAATACTCATACACCTTCGTATACGCACCTATCTTTACAAGATCTTCATAACATACCTCGTTACTTCTTTGATCGATCAGACGAGCTGTGTCAAACAGCCGCAATAAGTCGAACTTAGGACAGATTTTCTGCGTTCGTCTTCCGCGGCCTATAATGACGGATCCCACGAAGTCTAACGACGCCACGATACGAGTCAACGGTCGCCATCAGCCTGAGAAAACAGAGCCTGAGCAAACAAAGCCTTCGGCGCTCCCAGAGCAATTTCTGTGGGAGGAACAGAGAACTGAAACAGCTCCAGAGACGCATGAGGTGAGAGGTCGCGGCTGCAGACAAAGAAAAAAGCACGACTGACTGTTGAAATAGAAGCCGAAAATGTTCAGTGAGAACAAAAGAACGCAGACTTGGTCCCCTGATGGATCTCTTGGAGTCCCTCGATGGAAAGGTTCAGAGGAGAAACGCAAATAGGACGAGACTATCCAAAATACACCGGAGGTCTGCTTACTCGAGAAGTTTCTGAACGGTTGTCATTCATTGAATTGATTGGATCGGATGCAGTGAGCTTATTGAAGGCCATTTTGTACGTCTGAGAGTTTGGTGCAGCGTGGTGTCATGTGGTCAATGTGAACGTGTCGTTTGAACCAATAAACATGAACTACAATCAGGTGCATTGGAATGATGTCGAGCACATCACAGCATCAAAGTCTGCCAACTTCAATCCCGATACCGCCGACTGAGACAAACGCAAGACAAATGGATCACACACGGCACCATATAAAGCTGGCTGCACCCCTAAACCGTTTAAGTAATTCGGCACTCAAGCACTGCATCACTAAGTACAGCTGTCAAGACTGTTCAACACCCAGACCCGGAGCGTGGAGTCCAAAGTTAGCTATATCTATCTCTGGAACCGGTAATCGACCTCTATCAAGATGCATCTTCCAACAAACAAACTCCAGCTCCGCCCTAAACTTACCAACGTTCTTCAACACTCAAGCAAGACTTCCACTTCCAAGAACCCCGAGGCTCCAACTCCAACCAAGACAGATAGCGTTATTAACACCAAAGACAAGCGCAACATCAAGATCGGCATTGCTGCACTCCGTACTGTCAGCAAATGGACCGATAAAGCTGCACTGACGCTCGAGAAGCTCGAGGGCCAAGAGGCGTCGAAGCACTGTCAAGATCGCCAGGCGCGCTTGATGGCTCAAGATAACAGTAAATCATACGGAAAACATTCCCAAGATACCGGGGTATGGAGAGAGACTGTGGTATACCCGATACCTGCCCAGGCTGGGAGTTCTAGGGGGATCGAAGCACACGAACAGCCAAGAGTATACGGAGCAGCAGCACCCTCCAGTACGGGAGAAAGTCACATGACGGCCAGCACTGTGGAGGTACCGCTCGCCCAGACTCATCATGCGCATGTCTTGGCTTCCGTGGAGGAGTACTATGACGAAAGTAGTGATGAGGAAGACGAAGGCAACACCTCTAGGCAGATCGGTCTCAACAGCTCCACAGACGTTGACGCAGATGACATTATCGATGAGGAAGATACTTCCGATGATTCTAGCGATGATGAGAAGGAGGATGACAGCGACAACGACAAGGAAAGCGACGAAGACAGCGATGACGACTCGGATAGCGAGGCGCATGATAGCTCTGATGATGATGATGATGCTAAGGATTCGGACGAGGAGGAAATGGAGACAAAGCATCCGCCGATCGAGTATGCTAAGAAGTGAGGGGACGGAATGCTGGGGGTAGAGGCGGCTTAGATGTTTCGGATGTGAAGAGGACGCGCTATTGGACGATGCAGCCTTGAGGGCCATAAGGGACGGGATTTGACGTAGACTGAAGAATTGAGCGGGAAATGGCAGCAGTAGCTTGGACATACCTATACATAAAGTGTTAAAGCACGGCTGTACTTATTCTGTGGAAATCGAGACCTTCTAGTACTCCAGGCCTTCACCAACCTCTAGCACTGAAGTAGGAGAAGCCAAACGGAGGGGTATAGACTAGCTCAGATGTTTGAAATAGAGGCAAATGATAATGTTTGGCTATGCGGTCGAAATCTTCCGAAGGGCCGAAGTGAACTGCGCGTCAGGCAGCATCGGTTCGGCACATATGCCGTAAGGTTTACACAATGACGTACCTGTGTAACGGCAACAAAAAGCCATCGCGAAAACCTCCAAGCAGCTTTTGTTTGTGGAAAGTGTGCTCATCTCTTAGTATACCAACCAATAAGTATCAGCAAAGTGGCAGTAAAGCCGACCAGTACAGTAGCCCGATGACAGGAAGTGAGGGCAGGGCACCTGTAAGCTACCAACGGCACTTCGCAAACACCCCATAGCGCGTCACTCGTCCTCTCTCACCTCACTTGCACGCCTTGAACGAGTTTTACGTTTGTGTTTTCATCCCACGTGCGCTCTAGCCCGAAAGTCGTTGATCGGCTTTGCCCTGCATTGTTCGCTCAGTTCGGTCCCACCCACATCCTCCTAGCAACGCCCGCATCCTCGCAGTCAACATCACGACTGTCAATTGCGAAAATGTCAACACACTTTCGCCCGCGCGCGACTACGCCTGGCCCGCCGAGCCCTACACGTCCATCAACGGCGCGCTCCACAATTCGCGCTATCTCGCCGTCGCCGCCACCGAGTTTGGATGAGGCTTCGCGACAAGATTCTGCGACTACTGGATCACCGAATGTTGATCTTCAGAGTACATCAGAGAGTGCGAAAGTACGACCAAAGAGCGATGGCTATCCGCAAGCATACGTGCATGGTTCAGGTTATGAAGAGACGGACTTCGCCAACTACACCACAACACCAGGGAACGGTAACTTCGGAAGCTCTCCCGCAAACATCACTGCCAATGTCACCATCAAGAGAGGCGGCGGAATGATGACAAGGCGATCACCGGTAAAGCGCGGTTCCAGATCAACAAGTCCGAAGAAACGTCCGTACAGCACACCGACGGAGTTGTCTTCGCACCGCGAGTCGACATTGCGTGACCAAGACGACACGCCAGCCACCAACCCGCGAGATGCAGAAATCCAATCTGGTGACTACGTCGATAGCGACGCATACACCGACTGCCCAGACACACCCACCCCGATGACAAACTCCCAAAAGCGCTCCGCCTATCTCCCGCTCGGAACTCCGACGCCCTTCCCAAAGTCCACGCGTTCTCCCAGGCCCAAGTCCAAATCAAGTCTTCAACGTGCCACCCCTACTACTACGCCCACAGCACCGACGCCAAAGCTCGAATTCTTTGAGTCCTTCGACGAGCAACCATCCTACAGCTCTGGGCCCTTCAACACGGACCATCCCCAGATGTATGTTGGGCCAGAAGACAAGCTCATGGCGTTCTACACCCAGACTGAACGTCGGAAGATGCGCGAACGGGCGCTCGCAAGGGCTGTGCAACCGACAACGCCAGATCACCCAGCAAGAGATGTCTTGGTCATGCAGCAGCCACTGCGAGAGGACGACATTCGTGCGCGCATGCATCTCGCCCCTCCACAGCAGGCCATGGAATCACCGCCCCGGAAGCCTATGTCAGATGCGGCTGGCAACGTAGCGCGACACGTCTCGCCATCCGAGGGCTCATGTGTCTCCGGCGGAACGGTCACTAGCAAACGCTCTGTCTTTAGCACGCCTGGCAGAGACGAGCTCGAAAGGAAGAAGGCGATTGTGGAGACTGACGATGGACCGTTCGCCAAAGCAGTGAGCATGGCAGATCTGAATGAGAGACGCAGGGTAGTCAGTGAGGAGGGAGCACAAGGTGTACGAAGGAGCGAGGATTTGGAAGCAGAGAGCATGCAGAAGAAAAAGAAGGAGGGTAGGACTTGTGGTATGGGTATCGGGTGCAATGTCATGTAGAGATTGTCAAAAAGCTCGGAGATGTTTGTTTAGATTTTGCATCGATGCGATGGAGGAAGGTTCTGAACCGTAATATGAACGACAGCAATGAGTAATGATGAGGCTACTAGTTTGATGCTTAGCATAATATTGTAAAGTAACAATGAAACTGAAACTTCTCTGACGCGTGTGACAGAAGTATATCGCGAACAGACAGTGAATGCGACCACTAGCGAGCGCAACCGCAATACACTTTTGTTTGCCTCTTCGACGTCCAACTCTTCACTCGTACAACCCACTTTGAAGATCGCGACACATTAGCAGTAAAATACCACGCAATGGATGCCGCGCTCGATCGAGTACCAGCGCCGTACATGCTCGACAACCTGACCGCCGACGCGCAGCGAATATCAGCGAGCCTGCCACCGGACGGCTGGGATTCAAGCTCCGCCCTCGTTGGCCTAAAGCGTGACGTCAGTGGGGTATCGGTCATGGTGAGTAGCACAAGCCCTAGACGGGTAACTTTGTCTGTATCAGCTGCTAACCAAAGGCTCCGTGAAGCCGTCAATAGCTGCGCCGGGCGATACCAACGATGCGGGACATGCGCGCGGTGGTCTCTTCGCATGGCTCCGGCGATTGATCCGCACCGCTTGTCGTCGCTTCCGTAAACGCCACAAGAATGCGAAAGGCTCCTAGCGAAAGGGCCGGTGGATGTTGAACACTCCTAGCGATCAAAGAATAAGACATTGGTATGTGTAGAATGCGTTTCCGAAAGTCGAGCTAATAGCGCTTCTTAAATGAAGAATCGGCTGCGATGTCGAGTGCCTGTAGGATATCGGTACCGAAGACGACAGTCATGTATGCGGGGAAGATGACCCAGAGACCACTGCGGAGAAAGTTAGCTTTTCTGTCCCTTGTAGTACGAGGTGCAAACAGATGCAGGATATCAGCTTACTTCATGACAAGGTAGAAGACCAAAAGCGTTGCCCAGTCGTTATGGCGAACGTTTGCGAAGCCAGAGAAATACTCATTAAAGTCTACCATCGTTAGCTTGTGTATTGCCCGTGTGTCGCATGTGAACGTACAGTAGAGTACTGTCTTGCTGACTGTCATGACTGCTGCAGCAAACCCGATGATGAGCGCGCGGTTGCCAGTCTTGCCGCGTACCTTCCTGCCGCCAGAGAGGAACTTGCCCACGCCCTCGCTGAGCTGCAGGCCAGTACCTCCAGATGTAGGGACACTGTGGTTGTATATGATCATAGAGTAGAGGCCGTATAGCACAAGCTCCACAGCGTTCAGCATGGCTTGCGCGCCGCCAAACCCATCATGGTTTTCCCATCCGGGCCATCCGTATACATGATCGATCGAAGCGTAAATCTCATACGGCTTCCAGATGGGCCACTGAAGCGCGCCACCAGCCATGGTATGTGGGCGCAGAAGAACATATAGCGTGTCCCATAGTACAAGCGGGATCGAGATGGCAAGCCAAACTATCGTAAGATTGGATGCCGTGTGGCACCACGTCGGCTCATCGATTTCGGATGGAGAGGGAGGGCTGATTTCGGCTTTGGCATTGGATATTGCGCGTCTCGCAAGCGACTTTGGTGGCGGTGAGGTGTTGAGGTCTGGGGAGGTCGGCGCTGGGGACGCGGTCGATGTTCGTGATCTTGGCGTCTTCTTGACGGGTGATGGCTCCGTGGCGGGGAAGTCGCCTTGCGGATGCGAGCGCGTAGACACCATGACGATGAGAAGAGATCAAGACCGCGTGAGGAATCTGGGGTTCAGCAGCAACTGCGAGAGGCGCAACGGAAGGGAGAATGTAACGTGTCGCAATGATGCAAAGGATACTAGGGAACTAGTGGAGAACGGGTCCTGCTTTAGCCGGGCGGGGCTGTACCTGAGACGGAAGGAGCCTTCGCCCTTGATCCAATGATGCACCAAACTTCAACCTCGATTTTCTCATTGGCGGCACATCATTGTATCTCCTCACTTTTACCACGCGCTCTCATTTCCTTACTGCTCACCTGCATGAGGGGCTGCAGAACACGGCATTGAACCCACTCCGAGAAAGTGCATGGCACGCCACACCCGCTGACGCTGCGACCGTTTGAATGTGCACATGGAACAGTCACGAAGAAGTTTGTCGTGACCAGAATCTGGATTGTGGGATATAAAAACAAGGATGAGTTAAAGAACAAACCCAGGGGTTGCGCTCAGCTCATGCAGCAAACAAAAAGAAGCGATTGGTTTCCAGTGGAGATGCGCTGTTGCGGCACGGACAGCCGCGGCGAGTACACCCGCCGTGATGTTGGCCGCTGGCCAACTGCCTTCACTGCAGCAGGATCATCCCAGCCTCCAGTGCATCTTTTGGAGTACAAGCCTTATCGCCAGCCAGTCTTCCATTGTACTCTGGCCCCTTGACGTTCATGTCGTTTCTCCTCCGCGCGGGGGAGGTTCTCAAGGGCCGCGTAGGCCGCTACACGATCACCAAGCAAGTCTCACCGACACTTTGGTTTGCGAAGTGAGGCCCGGATATCGCCTTCTATGCCTTGGCCACTGACAACTATGCAAGGGACCAAGGACAAACAAAAGTGGTGATCAAAGGCGGACCTCCAACGGTGGGAGTAGAACGTGATGCGCTCAAAATGTTCCAGCATTGCCCTCATATCAGACCACTGGTCGACGAGATGGATGGGCCACCTGCGATGCCTCCGCTTATTGCCTTGCGGTATCTCGAGAGTGATGTCCTGGCTGCATCGATCGAAAGGAAGTTAAGCCGAGAGGAGCTGAAGTATGTTACTCGGAGGCTGCTGCTAGCTCTGAATACTCTGCACGAGAAAGGCTATGTGCACTCGGGTACGTATGCGCAATCCATTCGTTGAAGTAAGTGGACCGGCCTGACAGGACGACAAGACGTCAAAACCAACAACATCTTCTTCAATTCTCAGGAGGGACCCAATCGCTTCGCTGATGTTCAGCTCGGTGATCTGGGCGACTGTTGTACGGTGGACTCAGAGCGGGCTCGATCTGGAAAGCTTGTAGGTGCGCCTGTGTGGTCTAGTCCAGAGGTTATCCTAGAGATGCCTTGGAACACCGCAACAGATATATGGTCGTTTGGTACCGTGGTATGTGTTGAGATTCGGCTGGAAGTTGTCATAAAGCATAAGCTGACTGTCCGCTCATCAGGTCATCAGTCTAATCTACGGTGGAGATAGGAATTTGTTCCAGCCGCAAGATGTAAAGCGCGGTGAACAAGGGTACCTATTAGGTGTCCTCGAGCGACAGTTCCGCTATTTTGGACCCTTTCTTCCACCGTTTATAGAAATGGGTGACGGAGGGATCGCCCAAGTCATACAGTATTTGATGGAAACGATCCCGTATGACGAACTAACACCGTTCGCGTCTGTCACGGAAGGACAAGTGGCGAAGAAGGACAGGGATTTCATCTCGAAGATCATGCAGCTTGATTGGAGAGATCGACCTACGGCCAAAGAACTTTTGGAGGATGAGTGGTGGCAAGATGACTGAGATAGCTTTGTTTTGTAAGGCGTACTGGCATCGTCACCTGTACGATGTGGATTATGTGTTGTATTATACACTGTACTGATGGTAGAAATACAGGATAGTTCCACTCGGCGATTACGACCCCACCCGGGTTTCACCCTCAAGGCTCCGATTCCGTGAAAGAGGGCTACAGAAAAGCACCACCTCGCTTGCTAGCGTTCTGTTTAGCTCCATCGATACATCAAGGCCATTGCATCGGTACAGCCAAAGTTGGCGTTCCATTCACGTCTCTACCTATCGCCATCAACCATGGACATCACTGGGCTCGATCGCGCTACCGGTAGACTGGTCATCCAGATCAGACTAGACGAAATTACAGAAGCGCTCGAAGGCGTTCAACTCGACGACAATGGTACTGCAAGCTATCGCGCTATTCGTCACACGCTTCAAGATCAACTATCGATCATCTATGGGCAGGTATGCTGTTAGCCTACAATTAGCCGGACACTCCGCGAATCTGCGATAATATTCCACGACGCTGAATGCATTAAGATACTAACACATCAGCAGGATACTGATGACGAAAGCGACAACGGCGGTGGAGCAAGACGTACGCCATCGAAATCAAGCAGCGACACCTCCGCGAACAACTCCGATGACGAAGGCGTCGTAGCAGAGGAAGCAAGTCCCACACCAGAGCTCATTGAGGTGCCGGAGTCAGAACCCGAGCTGGAACCAGAGGCTACTGCCGATTGTGGTGCTTGTGGTGATACAAAGCCCGAGAAGGACACCATCAAGCTTGAATGCTCACATGTTTACTGTAAGGACTGCATCGTAGACTTGTTTCACTTCGCTATCCACAAAGATACCTCACTGTTCCCGCCTCGATGCTGCAAAGCCACGATCCCACTCAACACGAGCGAAAACGGAATAAAGGGCTGCAATGTCCTATTGCCTAAAGAGCTCTTGACCGAGGTCAATGAGAAGGAGGCGGAGCAGGAGAAGGCTCAAGAAACTGCATGTTCTGGTGCAGATTGCGATCACGTTATTGCGAAAGGAAACATCAGTGGTGGCGTTGCGACATGCGAGTTTTGCGATACCAAGACGTGTACGGTATGCAAGAACGAAGCGCATGAAGGATTGTGTGCCGAGGATGATGATACCAAGATATTGATGGCTACAGCTGGAAAGGTCATGTGGCAACAGTGCACCAAGTGCAAGAATCTGGTCGAGCTAGACACCGGTTGTTTCCATATCATGCAAGTGCAGCGCGCGAAATACTCACAGTTTAACTTGCTAACTTATCTAGTTGTCGCTGCAGCCATCAGTTCTGCTACATGTGCGGCGCCACATGGAAGACATGCATGTGTCCGCAGTTCGACGAGGGTCATCTTCTGAGGCCGACTCCTACCGATGCTCTAGACATGGCACCGACCGTCTGCCAACACGTGTGGAAACAACATGAAGGTACCGCGTGTGCGCGATGTGAACGTACCGATCTCTTGTCCGTCATGCAATGCACTCGCTGCCTCCTCGAGCAGTGTAGTCGTTGCGTGAACAACAGATAACAGTCTCGATCTCATTTCAAAAGGAAGGAAACTGTTCTTACAGCGGACGGAGAGTTAATATAATTAGAGAGATCTTAGTTCATTCCTGGCTCGATAGCACGGTGGAAAGCAAGGGCTTCAGGCTGATCAGTCCATACATGACGGTCTGCGTCATTGATGCTAAATGCCTGGGTCATTTTCTATTCCCCAACCCTCTTCACCGAGATCAAAAACTTAGAATACGCGAGTAAATATATACACGAACGATCTAATGTTCCTGCAAGTCACCCAAATTGTCGTTAGTGCCTTGGCGATCGACATGACCGCGGAAGTCCAAGGACTGCGCCGCATAAATCTTGTGTGCCATGTCTTCTTCATCCGCAAACATACCACCCAAAATGAGACGATAAAGCTGTACGTATATACAGACTAGTACCGCTAACCAAGGGTTTTCGTGTCAAATACACCATGTCGTCTCTTTTCCGGGTCGGCCAAGTTCTCAAGGGTAGCATCGGGACGTATACGATCACTCAAGAGCTCAAAGAAGCTGTCTGGCTCGCTAAGTCTGTGTTATGGTGACAATAGAAACATATAAACCTCTAACGACCGCCAGAAACCAAGCGCAAAAGCTGTCGGTGATCAAGGCTCAGCAGGGTCACCATGGGGTTACGAACGAGCGAGACGTTCTCAAGAAATTTCAACATCGCAGCCCCTACATTAGACCAATGATCGATGAGATCCAGGGCCCAGATCTCCCCGTCACAATCGCTTTGGAGTATCTTGACACCACCATTTCGGAGGCGTCCGCAGGGAAGGCCTTGAATCGAAAAGAATTGAAGCACGTTTCGCGCAGCGTCCTGGAGGCACTAAAAAGCCTTCATAACGACGGCTATGTACATGCGGGTATTCATTGTCTGCCGCTGGTAGCAAAACATTCGAGCTAATTATACTCGAAGATCTCAAACCGGATAACGTCTACGTCAACATGCAGGAAGGCGACAATCGATTTAGCGAGGTCAAACTTGGCGACATGGGGAATTGCTCTCATGTCACCAGTGCAGGTCCTAGTTCTGGGACTCCGTGTGGCGCACCAACATGGGTAAGCCCTGAAATCATTCTGCAACTACCGTGGAATACAGCTACAGATATCTGGGCGTTTGGACTACTGGTAAGACCCTCCACATGATAAGTTTCGGTCTCATCTGGAATAAATCCGACGTTGCTGGGCTGACGACGACCATGTGTAGTTCGTGCACATGCACTACGGCTCCCACTTCAACCTATGCGTCCCCCAGGGCAAAAAAGCGGAGGAGGACAGGGAAAATCTCCCCTTGCATGTTCTTCTGCGCCAGTTATACTGGTTCGGGCCGTTTCCAGACAAGACCGTCGAGATAGCTGATGAAGAGATTACTAAGACTCTAGCGTCTCTGAAGAGAAACAATCTACCAGCGCAGCAGGGAATGTTCAAGGTCATCTCAGAGTTGGAGCTGTCAAGGAAGGATAACGAGTTTGTACGTAGGATAATGAAGATGGACTGGAGGGATAGACCGAGTGCGAGAGACTTGTTGGAAGATGAATGGTGGGAAAACGAATGAGGCTGGGCTGATGACATACCGTGAATAGCAGTGACATTCAGCCTTTGTGAATGATACTGCGATGGGGTCATGAGGATTGTATAACACTTTACTGTACCATAGCTTACTTCACTCACCACAAAGCGCCCTCCGGGCTTGCTCTCCTCCTCCACACAATCACAATTGTCTTCACCAGGCAATCAACAACGTCATAAATACCTCCCTTCCTAAGTTCTTGTCTTCGCTTATCATAACGAAACCAGCCAGCTTCTTCAACCGCTACAAGCACTTCGAGAATTAACAACGCCATGTCTTACCCACCAAATAGCCCCGAGGTCGTTCGTCGCCACCCCCAACATGGCATCAGAACTGCGGGTGAGATCGGCGCCGTATCACCTCACTCACGCTCATCTTCTCCGAAGGACGTTCGTACGATCATCTGCGCGGAGAAGGACTGCAACAACAAGCTCGATGTCGTACCACATGGACACCATGCTGGGCTTGTCGGTAAGGACAGTGCGATATATATCAAGGCTAGGTGCAAGGAGTGTGAGCCGCCAGTAACTGTAGCGAGCTGGTGGGAAGGATATGAAAAGAGCGAGGAAGGCAGTGATAATTGGAACGAGGAACTAGGTGATTGGGCCGATGAGATCTGAGACGATAAGAGAGAATGATGGCTGGAACGATGGTAGAGGCAGCCGCACGACGTCTTAACAAAGATATTCGATGTAATGAGTAGAGACATGGGGGTTTAGAGATTGAATTGGATTAATACACATCTGTATCTACCACGTGTTCCAAAGTCACTTTACTTTGACCTCTACCTGCCCGGTAATTGATACCCTGAGGAAGAGCAGGAAGAAGGAACGTACTAAAACACCTGAGTGTCTACGCAGGCTTCTCTCCACCGCTTATATTTCCTGGTCACCTAGTGAGAAGCTGTTAGTCTCTTTTACTCGCCATTATACAACCAGTGAAAAGATACTGTCTGTAAATCCGAGGTGAAGGTAGAGGCTGCGTTCAGCGGTCTTCTAGCGGGTGCGGGTGCGCCCTCGAAGCAGCTCAGCCTCCTCCGCAGTGACGGTCATCAGACCTGAGCCCTTCTCATCCATTTTCTTCCTCAGCGACTCAGCAGCAAGTCGCTCTTTAGCAATGCGCGCGTGCTTCTCAGCCTGGTTATGCTCCCAACGCTGACGGCGCTCTTTCTCTCGCTCTTGCTCCCGGCCCTCAACCTGCCTCTTTGCCATCCCAGCAAAGAATATATCAGCGGACTCCATAGCTTTCCTTAACCGAGTGTGCTTCTCTAAGAACGCCGCGAAATCTTCAGGGTCGGGTATAAGGCGTTTGTAGCGGTCGTGGCAAAGGTGGTTGACCATCGCGGTCCAGAGTGGGTCTTTGTCAGACATGGCGTTCTGTTCGACGGTGATGATCTCTTCGTAGCTCGGTAGCTGGGTCTTGAGGTACTCGACGTAGCCGGCGTGGATATGGCTGCAGTAGCGCTCCATGCCCAACAGGCGAGCAGCGCGCAGGAGAGCAGCGTCTTCACCAAAGGTCTTCTGAGCCGGGACAGCGTAAGCCTCGAACTCATTGCACGTCTCCTGCATCCAGCCGATGAGTAGAAGGCGGACTGCGCCAGGGTGTATCTGGCCACGTGAGAACACATACTCATGCGACTGGGGATTAGCGGTGAAGTGTTTCTGCAGGACAGTAGAAGCAGCCATTGCTGCGCGCTTGGAGATGCCCTCAACGGATGTATCTCCAATATGAATGGTGATGCGAGGACCTTGGAGAAGAGCTTGGCGCTGCGCTCGTATCATCTCGAGCAGGTTGTCGATAGACTGGTCTATGACGGGTGAAGAAGGCGACTGAGCTGACTGCTTTACTGCAGTCTTTGGCTGGGGCGGGACATCGGCAACCTCGGAGACGGGAGAGAACGACGGAGTAGTCGGCTTGTGGTCGGATCCAGGATTGGTAGCGGGCTGAAGGTTGATCTTGGTAGGAAGTGGCTCTTTGGGCAAAGAGGCAGTCGCAGAGCCGTCAGTGTCGGCGATGCTGACTGCCTTGACGGTCAAGTCTTCATCTTCATCAGGTATGACTTTCTTGGTAGTATCAGCAGACTCGGGGGAACCAGCCTGCTCAGTAGAGGAAGCGGTGGTGTTTACGTCCTTGAGGAGTGCCGCCTTCTTAGCAGCCCTGTTGCGACGAGTGCGCGCAGATTTGGACATGGATTGGCCTTGAACAGCTGGAGATGGCTCACTACATGTGGAGTCAGTACATGGAGTTATTTCATTGGTGATTGAGACGTACGATAGTTCTGCAGCTAAGTGACTGCTTGCAATGTCCGTGGTCGCCATCGCAAATACGATGATGATGCGGCGCAGACCGAGCGATTTGACGTGGAACCGCGTCTGTTGGTGGGAGAAGAGGAAAGACTTGTTCTTACGAAGGAGTAGATTTGGGACAGAGTCCAGTACTTTTAGGCAGCGAGCTCGAGGCGCGGTTTATTTACATGCAAACGGACGGGACCCAGTGCACGTGACTACCTAGGTAGGCAGGGACCCGAGCGCAGAACGGTCGCACAACGCGAGGAAGCCGGATTGAATGAGGAAAGAGCAATGTGGGGTGGTCCTAATCGGGGCCCTAGAAGATCATGAATATCGCCCTCATCGGACTACTCGTGCCCGTTTTCATACTCCTGGCTCTTTCTAGTTATGCTGATATAGCATCTCATCGCAGCTTTCTTACGCATTTGGAGAAGGCCATCGCGACTGCTAACCGTGTACCTGAACCGCTATAACTCTTTCTGGATTGCAACTTGTCGATGATCCAAAGGACTCGTCGCTTGATTGAAAGTAAATATATTTGTGGCAATATGCGGCTCGTAGCCAAACGTCATGTTCAATCAGACGGCAGAAGACTCTTGTGGAACGCGTATGAGAACAATGAGTATTTGCACACGATGAACGACTGACTATTCAATGACGACTGGAGTTGGCGACAGAGTGTTGAAGTGAAAGAGCTGTCGCGCGTGTCGGACGCGTGCTTGCTCGGCACAGTAGCGCCAGCCGAACTTGCTCCGGATGACGCGATTCCTGAGCAACACTCGTGGACTGTTTGCTCTCCACCATCAGCACCGCCGTCGTAGTCGCAACAGGCCCTAGCCGACACGATTACGTGCAGAAGGCCCAAGCCATCTATCTCAGCTTATGCTTCCAAGTACTTCGCTTCCTGTCAGCGCATCCGACGCGCCAGACATCAGAATGGCGTCTGGCCGCTCGCCAACAGTCGCCCACGGAGACTGACGACCACATTGACTGAGCCCTCATCAGCCTCAATTTATGCGCCTAGATAGGATATAGGAACCTTTTCCAAAGTTGCCGCGTCTCAGCAACCGATAGAACCGCCATCTTCGCTCCGCGCCATAGCCCCATCGTCTCGTCAGACAGCCTCGCATCCTCCCAAGAGCCACAAGCTGGTACCGACAAGAACATCTAGAACACCAACATACACGCTGCGACTACCACCGAACACTCGCGCATACCAACACCACTGTAGAAGTACGGCTGTTGTCGAGGTAGACAAAAGGGTCCAGCCGGTCACAGAGATTTACATGCAATTGAAGGGAGCATAGTCTCAAGCTCGCTTGGCTGCCGGCCACACAACACATCGTAATCCACGAGGATACGGTGTCGTCTGTGACCTTGAGGAACATAGCCGTAGCCCACCACCAGTATCGCACAGGCGGACACTTGATAGCCTCGCCGCTAGATCATCCCCCGACAATACCCACCCATTGTTCTGTTAGATCTTTACAAGGGTTTTCGAATGGCTGTGATGCCACGTCGTGGGTTGTGCGTTGTGCGATGTATCAGGATATCACAATGGCGCTTTCGCTTGCTCGACTCCACTCGCTAATACACCCGCCCTATATTCTGGCTGGAAGACTGTACAACAATTGCACTTGAGTAGAGCGACATTATCCTCGCTATCGATCGCCATCATGCCGGACCCTGTACTGATCACTCTTCCGACTGCGCCAACTTGGTCGCCTGTGATACGGCGCGACGCACCAAATGTACGCGCTAAGTCAATCATTGGCCAAGAGCAAGAGCGCAATCGTATTATTACGGAAGCGATTAGCATCCCTGAAAGTGGATCTTTGAAGCGCATCGCTGAACACTCGGTAAACGTCCTTGATTTGGATACCAAAGACCGCAAGGTACTCCTCGAGGGACCAACCGTGGATCTCATTGCCCGTGGTATCGTCATCCGGAAAGACGTAGCTCTTCGTGCATTGATAGCTTCATGCCAAAAGGCCAATGATGCCGTTCAGATCACGCCCCAAATCACACGATTCCGCATACATGGTCACGCCGATGAAAGAAGTATCAAACGCTTGCTTGACGTATTCACTACATCCAAGCTTCTTGGCCTTGATCGCGTTGACCTTGTGTCCGGTAATCTTCGTAACGATATACTAACATACCAAGCGTGTTTAGTTCTCGGCATCCACTACACTCACTCTGCACCTCTCCTCGGCACCCTTTGCGCGCTCGTATCATCTCGACTTCTCAGTATTAGCGAGCTCGAGATGTTGGTACGTCGCTTCCCTCCCACAAACCCTTTAATTAAGCATACTGCCAAAGACCTCTGCCGCAGAAGGTTCAAGAAGCAGATACCCAACATTGCTGAATTCAAGAACTGGCTGAACAAGGAAAGCCAAGAAGGACTGAAAAAGACCATGGCGGCATGCGACAAAGTACACAAGATGACAAGGCAAGCAATCACTCGGAGAAAGTGCGACTGGAGGAAGGATGCTGTGCTACGTCTGTGGGGCGAGGATGTAGATGGGGTTTGTGTTGAGGAAGAGGCCGAAGACGACATGGAACCGGACAAGATCAAACGACGAGACTCAAAGTTACTGGAGTAGAGCTTTCAGAACTATCATGAGCGACTGCTGGGCCTGGTTAACGGGCATATAATGTATGGTTAAGTTCAGTAGTGATTGACGATGTTTCGAT